GGAGCAGAGGGGCAGAATCCCCTCCCTCGCCCTGCTGCCCACGCTGCTTTTGATGCAGCCCAGGGTACGGCTGGCTTTCTGGGCTGCGAGAGCACATTGCTGGCCCATGTCCAGCTTTTCATCTATCAGCACCCCCAAGTCCTTCTCTCCTCAGGGCTGCTCTCCATCCCTTCATCCCCCAGCCTGTATTGATACCAGGGATTGCCCCGACCCAGGTGCAGGACCTTGCACTTGGCCTTGTTGAACCTCATGAGGTTCACACAGGCCCATTTCTCCAGCCTGTCCAGGTCCCTCTGGATGGCATCGCGTCCCTCAGGCGTGTCACTGCACCGCTCAGCTTGGTGTCACCTGCAAACTTGCTGAGGGTGCACTCGATCCCGCTATGTCATTGATGAAGATATTGAACAGCACTGGCCCCAGTACGGACCCCTGAGGGACTCCACTCGTCACTGTTCTCCATCTGGACATTGAGCCATTGACCACTACCCTCTGGATGTGACCATCCAGCCAATTCCTTATCCACTGAACAGTCTGCCCATCAAATCCATATCCTTCTAATTTAGAGAGAAGGATAATGGGAGGGACTATGTCCAGGTAAATGACATCCATATACGAAGGCTCTTTCTCCTTACCTCTGCCACTCTTAGAATGCGTGACACTGGGCAAGTCAATTTTTTATGCATGTTTCCCATTTGTTTTGCCTATTTAGATTGTAAGACTCTGAGGCAAACATTATATTTGCATTTCAAAGTCTAAAGGTGGTACCAAAACGTAAATAATGTCAGATGACCAACACTGAAGCCCACATAGGCTTTTTCTCATGTCTGTTCCTCCTATAGCTTTCACCAGCCTAAAGAACTCTTCAGCCTCTTTGTTACATATAAAAAAGGCCTCTTGTCACCAGAATACAACACCAACAACATGGTTAACTGGAATCTCTGCCCTCAACGCTGTTTACAGCGTTAGCAACTATGTTTTAAAGCCATAACTTCAAGCAAATTGAATCCATGGACTCATTTGCATGGCTGCCTGCTCTCTTATCCTGTCCCATCATACACTCAAAATCCATTACATTAAAAAAAGGAATAGCAACAAAATGCAGCGATATCTGGGATACACTGCTTCCCTGCCAGTACGCATATTATATTTCAAGGTTCATGTTCTACCTGCTGGTAACTCACACATGGATTGTCGTGTCCACGTGCGACCTCCAGACAAGAGTTTCATGGAAATCAGAGTAGCTCTGTGGAAACACAATGATCTCTCTGGCTGGTGTCTATCAGCAAATAAGGCTGAAGATTATCTGCTCTTCAGAGGACTCATTTTTCTTTACATTTGTACGGAACTTAATGCAACGCATTCTTGACACATCCCATGCTTTTAAGCAGTAGTTGCTCAGAACCCACCATGCCAGAGGTTGTCCACAAATGCAATAAAAATATCATGTCTGGATTCCACACACCACCTCCCCAATCTACCCAGGTACTCGCTCGTGTTTCCTGCAGTCATTACATTTTCATCTTTTGCTATGAATGCAGCACCTGTAATTATAAAGCACCGACTGAACAGGACATCAGAACCTGCTTCGCTGAGAGTGTCCTCCTGCCATTTCTACTGTTATCATCTTTAATTAATGAAAATACTTCTCACGCTATTTACTGGTTCCACCCTAATAAAATGAGTCACACACCTATACACCTCTTTCCTATAGTTTCAGACTCCAAGGCTGATGCTGTAATTAAAAAATAGATAGCTATCTGGTAACCTACTATATTTGCAGCAATACGCACTTAGGTAAGTAATTAAGCCTTTAAAAGTGTCAGCTATACCATTTGCACCATTCAAAAGGGAACCCAGGCCTCGTCCCCTCTTCACCACCACATAGGGAGCCAGTCACTAGGATGATTTTGATTTGCACCGAGTGTCAAGTGCAGCTCGTTTTCGGAGGGTAGTGCCACAAATCAAAGGACATTAAACTTTGATCTACTGCAACAATGTTTATGGTTATGCAGCTCCAAAATGACTATCAAGAGGTTTTTGACTGTATCTCACCCAGCAGCTAGTGGGAATTGGCCAACGGTATATTGCTGGTACATTCAGGCAGCAGCTGACTAGCGTCAGCTCTTGATCTGAAGCTGTTAATGTTTGACTATGAAGCCCAACTGCTCCCACACAACAGAGACTCATTCAAATTATTTCCCCATTCTGGTCTCTGCAAAGAGCATGAATGATATAAACCCCTCAGAATTTGCCCCCTGAGAACACAAATCTATAAATAGCCATCTTCCTTTTAATTTTGGTGAACGCGAAGGGGCTGACAGAGGCTAGATAAATCGTTTAGTTCTTATAGGGAAGATATTAGAGATATATTTAGTAAACAAAGAAAAAAGTGTGTTCTTGTGTAAAAATAATTGCTAAGATAAAGCAACTTGTGTTAGCTTTCATGGAAATATAGAGCAGAACTCAATTTGACAGTTAGATAAAGCTGAATTATCTCTACAGCTGTTTACATCGGCTAACTCCCATTAACTAATCAAAGTTAAAAACTCTCACCCATTTTTATATTTATTTTGCAGTGGAGATATACCCACTGGTGCAATGTTTGCTGAAAGAAACTGAAATTAAAGAAGCGAAAGGAAATGCTACCAAAGAAAAAAATCCCCTGTATTTCCTTTTTCTCCTCAAATACCTCCTTCCTCCTTCAGCTTTTTTTGGTTTTTTTGGGGGGGTTGTTTTTGGTTTTTTTCTTTTTATACATACTGCAGGGGAAAATAAAATAAACTCAAATCCATTTCAAACCACAACATTTTCCAAGACTATTATAAGACTTATGATGGTCAAGCACAGGCACATGAAAGATTTCTGCTCTTAAGAAAAATAGATTCAGGGGAAAAAAAAAAAAAGAAAGAAACCAGGAACAAAACTCTCTTTTCACACAGTAATAACATCACATACAGCTCCTCATTAAAGTAAGAAGGCGGAACAAATTCTCGTGGCTTCGTGGTGCACAAACAAAACGTACTTGTGGCCTGGTGAAATTTTCAATAGAAGAGCTTGCGCTGGGTAAACTGAATGGCTAGAGCTAATTTAAACCCATTATCTCGTCTTAATTAAAGTCTCAGAGCACATACTATGCAGGCTGAACTCACTACTAACCAAAGAAAAATCAAGTTTGACTCTCTTTAATGTGCCTTAATAACCACCTTCAAAAGAAGGCAATTCATTGTGAACTCCAATTGTGTTTCTTTGAGCAAGAATGCATCCACCTTAGCAAAACTATCAAATCCATGCATTACCTTGGCTTCTGACTTTTCTGAGGTGGCTACCATACGGCCAGGCCACTAAACAGATTCAGTAGATGAAAGGTCTCTCCCCAGCCTTATGGGAACTAAATGTGTTATGTGACTTCTGACGGGTCAAATCTTCCCCCACCGCACATGGCCCTAATTCTCTTCCCATCCTTTGTCTACCTTGCCTGTTTGAGCTGTAAGTACTCTGGGGTGAGGATCAACCATTCTATTAAGCACCTACAATACTTCTAGAAAAACACACTTCACACTTGTTAAAGGTTCTGTTAAAACAACACCACGGTTTCTCGCACAACTTTCTCACACAACTGAGACATCTTGCCCTCACGCAGACAGACGCGTGACAGGCAAAGCAGGAACCCTTATTTTACTAGTGAACTGTGACTCACACACACAGCCCCAGCCAGCTGACACGATGCTGAGGGTGACTTGTGCCAGTCAATGCTTCATCAGTGCTGTGTCATCAATTACTCAAGAACAGTGAACACTGTAGCGTAGACCAAACTGCAGTTCTGTCTGTGATCACACATCCCATTCAGTGGGGAGCAGACCATTTTTAGCCTCTCTTAAGACCAATTTTACAATAATGATAGTTTTACAATTCTGTTTAACTTTCTATTCAAAGTCTTAAAGCGCGCTGCAAAAAGCCCAGTCTCATCTCATCTGATCTGAGGTCATTTAATAAAATACCAACCACTGAAGAAACCTTACCACATATAACTTGTGCCAGATAACTGCCCACTCCCTCAGGGTAGAAGTGAGTTCTTGTCCAAGGGGCAATTCACTTGGAATCACTGTTTCATGTTGCCTAGGGAAAAAAAAAGGAGAAAACAGAAAAAAGTGTTACACTCGAGATTAAAACTTAGTAGTAAAACATCCTTTTTTAATAAACGCGTAAACAGAAGTTTCAGAAGGCTGGCTATTCACAAAATTCAGTCATGATGCCAAGACTCTTAAATTGTTCAACTGGTTCTCCAACAGACACGTGCGCATTCATTACCCATGTTTCAAGTTTCTTTCAGTCTTGTTCGTTTCAACTGATCTGTTCCAGAAACATAATGCTAAACAGACAGAAATTAAGTTTGGAAGAATCACCGCTTGCAATGGTAACTTGGCCACAATAACTAAAAACAAAAAAACCCCAACCAAAACCAGAAGAAAAAAAAAAAAAAAAAAAGTACTTTCTAAAGTCTCTTCCTTTGCAACTGCTGTTTTCCTCTCACTCTAACGATCACAGAACCAGCTCTAAGAATCAAATGAGGAGTCATTTCCTTACATGTTTTCCAAGACAGGAAGGAATTCACACTCCTGCTGGCTACTTGGCTGCGAGCAGGAGTGTGTTATGACTTGCAGAAGTCCCCAGAGGAGCTAAATGTAACTTGATTGACCTGCCTCACTACTAACTTGTCTAGCAGAGCTTTCTTATTTTTACAAACAGTATTCTCCTGCACCTATGCCTACAATTGTGGTATCTACGATACTCTGAAAAAAAAAGTTATGCAGCTCCAGAAGTCTAGCGCAGGCGGTATGCCCTGCTGCACGCACAGACCAGTAGCACTCATTACAACCACCACTGCTTAAGTTTCATTTAAAAAAAAAAAAAAAAAAAAAAAAGTAACACCATTCCATTGTTCTTGCTACCAAAAGTATACCTCAAGAAGCTCCAACCTACCCCCGGTCCTTCACAATTGCCTCTTTTAAGTGGATATATGTTTCTGGGAAAATGCCCTAAAAATAAATACAGAAATAAAATAAATAAATCACACCATAGGATATGACTTGACAAAAATGCATTCAACAGAAAGCAGGGGAAGAGGGTAAGAGCATGATCAGCAGAACAGTAACTGTGACTGATGTTTACTGTTTACCTATAAAACAGAAACATGTTAGGTCCACCAGTCCCAGTATCACAGGAAAAAAGCCAGTAAGGAGCATCAGGTTGCATGCTTGAGCACTGTATTTGATATTAGCACCTCAGAGAAGTTAATTCCTTGTTTCACTGTAATGACACTCATCTTGCTGTATGAAATGTTGTAAGCTCTTGCAAACTATCAATCATACTCATTTGTTCTTGTTACAAAATACTCTTGGAGTCATTTGTCAAGTTGCCCTGGACCTGTGGTTCTCTAGAAAAGCTCACAACACATGACAGCATTTGTAGGAATTCACCAGTCCCAAGTTTCCATTATTTAAAAGAAACCTTCTAGGAGCGCTACAATCCTTTTCTATTTTCTTGTCATTCCCCTTTACGCCTGAAAAGAGGTGCCAGAATTCCTATGGGAAACCAGATTTCCATGCAGTTTTCAGACTGGTTTCACAAACCTCAAGAAGTTTGGCCGAGGTCCATGCGTGCATAATTTCTTGGAATATTTTCCAAGTCAAATCAAAACTCTAGTCTTACCATTACATATAACTAATACTGGACGTGTACAGGTCCAAGACCATAATAATAAAACAATAAGCTAGCGTATGCAGATAGGCAACAGTCAATTTTGCTAGTTCAAACTACATTACGCATGCTTACAATGGAGGAGTACCCAGTTAATGGTTCTGAAACATTTACCTCAAGGGCATTTATTTCTATCACTAAGGCAAAGGACATAGCAATGAGGAGACCTGCACAATATTAAGACAAGAAATACAGCAGAAGCATAGCAGATTACAGCACCGGATGGGGTCTGGCAAGGTGTGAAATAAAAATTAGAGTTACTGAAAAGTGAGGTCATACCTTCTTAGATTTATTTCGGAGTGTGTATCCTCGGTACCAGCCTGTCAAAGGGAAACAAAAAAAAATTTTTTCTCCTGTCTAAAGCAATTAAATATACGTTGTCATGCTCACCACGATTCTACAACATAGATCTATTGATCTTGCTCATTTGAGATCTACTATTGTGAAGACACATCTGCTCTCGTTGTAGGAGGCTTGGTTCCTACGAGTAGGGCAGAAGGGTGTCTGTTCCTACCATGAACTGACACCCTCACTTCTACTCTGCATATCCATTTGGGTTGTATTGATAGGGCTCAATGGAAAAGCGGGCCACTCCGTGCTGCACATTTTGAAAGGGACAATCCTTGTCCATAAAGCTCACAAGCTATAGACACAGCACAGACCCACTGCTATGATCATTTGACAGATGAGGCGGAGAGACACAGACATGCATGCAGAACTACTAGCCCAAGGTCATATAGCATGTATCTGGCAAAGAGAAATATATTCAAGTGTCCCAAGTCCAATTCCACGCCGTCCCTTCAAAATTTTCTTCTCTATGAAGTGCATTTTCATCCAAATCATCATATAGATTGTGGTTGAGCTCCACATTGTATAGGTTCATTATCATCTTCTATGACTCAGTCTAAAGCCTTCCTTCAAAGGAAGGCTGAAAGAGAATGTTTTATTAGATAAGGCAAAAAAACCCAAACCCCAACCTGCTTGCCCTGGTAACGATATTGTTTCTCAATCTTATCTTGATGAGATCTAGTAAAGTGTAAGATACAAAGTAATAACTGTGATCCCCACGACTCAAAAGCATATGTCACTTTCAGATGTATGTGTCTTCTCTCTTCAGCACCTGGGGTTTGACCAGTATTTTGATTTCAATGTCAATGAAATGCAAGCATATGAAAAAGTCGCTGTATTTCTTGCATCCTCAAGTGAGCCTTGCTGAACGAGCAGATAGGAGAGAAGCAGAGCTGTGGGCCAGTCACTCCCACTCTTCTCCCACCACCTCCAAACTGTGAGAGACAAAGGGATTTTTTCTCTCCACCCTCACCTTCATCGTTTGTCTCAGCAATGGAAAAGCTGTGCATCATCGAGTGCACTCTTACTTTCCACTGGGTGCCTGTTCCTTGCCATAAGCAACAGTTTCCATCACCTTCAGTCCTCCTGAAGTTACTGCACTGGAAATAACAAACTAACCATTTTAGAAGAAGAATCTGCCCTGTTTTGAACACTGATGTGCAGGCATAATGTCCCTTGTATTGTTCTGGGGTAGGATGCAAACTTCCGTTTTCTCACTGACTCTTAGCCACTAAAAACATCATTCCAAACGTGAAGACTCTCTGCGACCCCAACTCTCAATTAACCCTGCTCCTAGAGCACCGTTTTTTGACTCTTAAGGTTCTACTTGCATTGAAACCGAAAACACTGACGCTACCTCTTAGCGACCATGAAGGGTTGCTAATCTATAGATTATGGTCTGCAATGCGTGAATGATGTTCAGGGCTATCAAGACAGACAACATCACTGATCCAAGATGATTATGTCCAGCTGACTGCCAGAAGGAACAGCATCAAGAAGGCAAAGGGATTTAAGGGAATAATCAGGCAAAGACGACAGGAGGGGAGGGTGGCGTTTTGTTTTGGTTTTTCCCACCATATATTTATATATTTAGCAAAGAAGGTTCCACGAAGAACCATGGATTTGAAACCCCTCGACCATAAATTAGAGTTTAGGGTGAGGTTTTTTTGTTTTTTGTGGGGGGTCTTGTGTTTTGTTTTGGTTGTTTTTTTTTTTTTAATCACAGTTTTGTCCCCTTTCTCTAACAAGGAGAAAGCGAATCAGCTTGACCACATAAATCCCAATATTCCTGTAGTAAGTTAGAAGGAAAGACGAAATTCCATTCCTTCCACAGGATGAAGGTAAGATTATACATTGATCATGGACCAATGGATAAGGTACTGGATTAGGGATGAGAAGATTTAGGTTCTATTTTTATCTAAGTTGTAATTAATTGAATGGTCAAGTACAAGTTATTTAGGGTGTGATACAAAGCTCTTGGAATTTAACAAGAGTATTTTCCCAGTGATTTCAATTCCATTTGAGACAGTCTCTCAGCTGTTCGATACCACAACTTCCTCATATTTAAAATGGCCTCTTGGCATTAACCATATTCCTGTAAAATATTTTGCAATCATTGCATAAAAGCATGCTGTATATTATTACGCAAAACTATTTCAGCAAGCATCTCATACAATTTTTTCAGAATTCTGCCCCAATTTTCAATGAACTTATTCATCATTTTAAAAGGAACAAAAGCTTTTGGCAGTGGTCAATTGATTACTTTATTTCTTCTTAAAAAAAAAACAAAACAAAAAAACAACAAAGCAAACAACAAACCAACAACAAAAAACCACCACAAAGCAAAACAAAAAAAACCCAACAAAACCTGCCTAAAGCTGCAGAGGAACGATAGACTATTGAAGTGTTTCTCTTGAGTATTTTCCCCAAGCAGAGATGTGCTAAATGGAGAAAGGCTTTTCAGTTGAAGATGACATGGCAAATTTCAGCTACTACAATACTCTTTCAAACCGAAATCTGATTAAAAACGCAAGGATAGCAGACTGAGTCTTGCAAAGAAATGTCATAAAGTTTGGTTTGCGGGGTTTTGGGGGGGTTGGTTTGGGGGTTTTTTGGTTTTTGTTGTTTGGTTGGTTTTGGTTTTTGTTTTTTAAATGGAACACAGGTCCTCAATTTTATGTTTCATTAAATGGATTTTATGCAGTATGTAAAAGATCAGAAAATCTAAGAAAAAGATATTCAAATTACAACAGTTTAGACAATGAAAAGTTATATACAGTTATGCAATCCCAGGTCACGTGCTTAACCACAAGGCCTTTGTTCCTCTTCTTTCTGTCTCTCAGTACCACAACATACATACCGCTGCACTGTACCGAAATAAAACAAGGGATTGCTTCATTTATCTACGGCGGTCAGAGGAAAGATAGAAGACTGAAACTAGGAACAAATTCAATGCAAACTTATTTTCATCAGGAGAAGAAACTGATCAGAATCACGGTACGTGGGCACATTTTACTTCTATCCACAATTTGGCTATTTCCCACAGCTTGCATGAAATGATAATATACATTGCAGATTAGAAAAGATTCCCCTAAACAGAAACGTATCCTCCCCAGCTCACTACTCAAGGACAGATTCCCAGAGAGTAAGTAAATCCTGCACTGAAGCAGCCTTCACAGTACTGGACACAGCAAGTTTCCTTCTTTTCTTGGATTTCGCAGTATATGCCCAGTCTTTACAATATTTGGCAAACAACAGGAAAAGCATGCACTGCTTACCTTGTTATCAACTGGAAAAAGTAATTCATGCCCTTCTGCAACCAGACAGCCAACCAGAGAAAGGAGGAGAAAAAAAACCACCTTGCTTTGCAGTTTACAAGAGCGTATCATGACCAAGACATCTGAACTAACACCACCATGCTTTGCAGAAGGTATATGTGTATTTGTTTTAAAGGGAAGGTACATCTAAGAAAACTGGTATCTTCCAGATCTTCATGTATAATAAATACACCATGGTGTTTCACAGCGTGCTTGGAGCCCAACTAAGACATTTCAAAAGGTATTTAAAATCAGTCTCAAAGTAAAACACTGAATATGCAAATTTAGACCCTATCTACAGTGCAAATCCTACTTACAATTGCACCCAATGGCAGATTGACAAAGATGCAGTATGCCACAATCTTCATCTTCCTGGACTGAAAGAAATGCCGCATAATCTAGACTACGGAGTTATTCGATCCAAGAGCAAACAGCTCTCAGGTTGTCCCTATACGGATTCGAGCTGCATTGGACATCAGCATGTTATAGTGCGTACTAGAAATACCTGAAACCTTTAGTTCAAACTGCTCAGTTTGCGGTTTCAGCTCTGATGACCTTCACTTCGATGTTGCGTACTTTGTCCAAGTTGAAGCTACTCTTTACAGGGTTCATCAGCCTTTGACGAATCCTTGACATAGGCAAGCTGCAGTCCAGCAGTACGAACAGTCTACCATGTTATCACTCCCTTATCTTCTTTTGTGCACTCACAATCCAAGCCTAACTGTGCAGTTGTAACTGGAACTTATAATACATTAGGCAAAGCATCTGTTTAGAGTGTGAGAAAAGAAAGCTTTGTTAACAGAAGTGCAATGCCAGAGCCTCACCCCAAATTTGGCCAACTTTCCAAGGACTTCCAGCCTTTGCAAGAGGCCTCTAACTCCTGATAGCATGAGCTAGCATAAATGAGCAGGGATTTTGCAATTTAAAGGTGCCTTCTCTCATTGCGAGGCCATTAGGCAGTACACCAGCAGCACCTGACTGCAGGCACTCCACCTTAAGAGTCTGCAAGACACTACGGTCTGTGGCAAAGCCACATAACATTAGAAGTTTGTGTAGCACAGAGGCCTGTACCAAACCACATCCATACCTTCTGGCTTGCACTTTAATTCACTTTATTGCTCTTTGCTTCTCACACACCTACCATAATGGCTTAACTGTATCAGTGTTATGTCTCAAAGCTATTCAGCCAGTTCAGAGTCAGATAACATTCACTCTTAACACCAAAACCCTGCACAAGCTTCAACCTTGCTGCCTCGCTGTCAAGGAACAAACTGTGCACTTCAATTCTTGCAGACAGAGCAGAGCCAGCCAAAACCCCAGATGCAGAATACAAAGAGCTTTCAAGTGAAGGCTGTCTGATACACAGAGAGCCCTCACTGAACACGGCTGAGGAATGAATACCTGCTGTCTTCAACCAGGAGGAAAAAGCAGGCACGTTCTAGATAACTGAAAGAGCGGTAAGCGAACCGTGGTGCAACTCACAACCCACTGGTAACTCACAAAAGATGCTCCTGTGCATCCTGAGGTAGGAACAATAGCAAGCAGCAAGATTTTCCAAGCAGCTATTACCATTACATGAGAGCCTCTGGACAATCCTGAAAAACTCCCTTAATTCCCTAAAGAATGTTACCGATAGCCTAAGGAACGGCCTCAGCCAGGAGCTGCAGGGATAACTCACACCAACTAAAAAAGGACTTCACAAGGCACCTCTGAGCCTTTCTTCTTGCAAAGCCAACGCCCTGCTTAAACGGAACCTTTTTCTAAATTGAGACTTGTGCATCCAGATAAGAACAGCGATTAGCGGAACAAAAAACCCCACTTTTATCAGACTGGAGTTGTATTTGTAAGTATACATCATTAGCATGAGAAAAAACAGAAAAGGCTTCTTGTGAGAACGCTAGTTCTCAAAAGCACAACCCACAGATGTCTGGAAACAAAGCTGAAAGCTGATGTCCCAAAAGAAAGAAAAATTGATATGATAAGACATGAGAATTTCCTCCCAAGCAGACAGAATATCAGAATTTGGAGTTTTTAAGATGAATTTATGGAAAATAAGACCAGACCCACAGCAGAGTTACCATCTCAGAGACAATCCGTGCCTTTTCCTTTAGATTCATAAGTGTCTGGCCTGAATTTTTGGCTGGTCTTTCCAGGAAAAGTATTTAGTTGTACTGCAGTAATTCCTAGGTGCCTCAGTCACAAACTAGGATGCCACACTGATGGCTCAGCGTAGGAAAACAATCAAAACACCTTCCCAAACAATTTACAATCAATCCTCTTAGGCTGAAGTTCCATTTCAGGTAAAAAAGGGATGCCATTTGGGTATTCATTTGTATTCTTGACTGTCTCTCTGTTAAAACAGCTGATTACAGACCACGTAGTAGGATTAAACAGTGATGCTGCTTTAAAAAAAAAAAAAAAAGAGAAAGGAATACCTAAACATTTTGGGAAGTACAAGATGCATCCCCTTCACGAGGACAATTTTCATCCCTGACGCTCCCTTATGAACTAGTTTTGCAAAAAGACACAAGTTAGTACTCTCACATACGGATTTTTTCCCCTTTCTCCCTCTCTCCCCCTCCATCAAACACACTCACCACTATCACACACATCAGTGTAAAGAACACACATTGGCAACATAATCTGCTTTGACATGCAGGAACTGGCTACCTGTTTCCAGTGACAAGGTCAAAGAGAGGTGGAAAGAGAACAATTGGCTAAGAACGAATTGCTAAACAAGCAGCTTGACGTTCCCAGCAGAGATACTAAAGAGGCTTTGTACGCTGAGTCTTTTTCAATCTGATGCTGCTTGTAAAAACGACTGAATTTATATTTTGGAAAGAGTATTTGAATTTTGGAGAGCCTTCCAAATGAAGCAGTGACTACTACATTCTTTAAAATAATTAAATGGCTGTGTTCCATTCCTACTATTGAAATCTTCATTAAACAGTCTAGTTTAATAAGTAGATATGAAACACACAAGCGCAATTTTCATCTTTTTTAAAACAGGAATTTTGTTTTCCTTTCTGCAAGATGTTTTACATTAAGGTATGTATTATGAAAAACTTCCCAGTAAAGTACGGGGAGAAGCAGCCTAAAAAGGGCATGGAAGCTCCAGAACTGGAGGCTTTTTAAAACATACAATGCCAGTTCATGATATTACAGCTTAAACCAACATTACTTTTGAAACAATTAGACCTGCCCTCCCCTTTTCTTTCATCCACTGCCTCTGTTGTCTCAGATCAAAGACCTTATTCAGGTTAAAAGCTGTATTTTTTTTAATTATTATTATTTTCCAGCTGGATCAGTTCATCACATGACTATGCAAGCGCTGGGCCTGACACAAGGAAGAGCCAAGGTAAACAGGTATGGTGTGAAAACAGGAATGAACAGCCAGAAGTGTTTCTTTCTCTTGCAGCACTGCCTTGAGATGCTAGTGAAATCTTACCTTGACAAACCTCTGCCAGGAACAGCGTAGATATGATTGCCGCTTCTGTATTTTATGTATTTTTAATACCGTTTTAAAAGTCAAGTGCATATAGCAAACACTACATAGCAAGCTTTGTGCTTTTGGGCATATCAGAAGTTGAAAATCTAGATCTGACATTTGTATTATTTAAAAAAATAATCTTTATTTGTTATATTTGCTTTCAAAAACTATTGCAAAGTACTTGGAAGCGATTTGCAACCTACCTTCATACATCTCCAAAATGTGAACGGTATCGCCAACTTGCAAGGAGAGCTCCACATCTTGGACAGCGTCATAATTGTATATTGCTAAAAAGAGGAAGAGGGGGGAGAGAGATGAAAAACACAATCATGAAAGCTGTGAGGTAGTCTGATTTTGAAATCTGGTCTCATGGCACCTGTCAAAGGCAGAATATGACTTTGAAAAAGCACTATGAAGTTACTAAGCTATCCCGTGTATATAATACACTGGAAAAGTGTGTAGCGTATCTATTTCCAGATTCTATCATCAGTTCCTGCAAGGATAAGAAATATTATTCTTAACAGCCAACAAAGTTTGTCTTTTACCTTTAAGAATACAGGCCTGTGACACTATATTAAGAAGCTGCATCTTCCCCCTTTACTGACAACGTGCCCAGCAAAGGTCACTATTATCCCAGGCAGAGGTTATGGATCAATTAGGTAATTGTCATTTTTTATTAGTGTTTCACAGGACTAACTGCAATGTAGCACTCAAACACTGGCAAAACAACATAAATTAGATGTCATAAGAAAAAATGCCACTGTTCTGTATTAAATGCCTCAGACTATTTGCTGCTAAAGGCTCTTTCCAGACAAGAACAATCTTAGCACAAAAACTTGAGATTCCCTGCAAATTTAATCCCTACCAAAGACAAAGCTAATCTGAATGCTTATCGGATTTCCAGTAGGAATAGGATTAAGTCCAAAAGCCCACACTTCTAAACTGCCTTTCCTCTGGAACTTTCCTGAGGTGCACAGTTTCACTGGGCAAAGCAGAAGAGCCCTCCTTAGAGCTGCTGGAGGCTTGTCGAGATGAGAAAGTTTAATTTGAATTTGCTTTCAAACCAAGGCAAGTAAAAAGACATAAAGCAGTCAGGAAAATGCTTTGCTATGGTTCAATGAATTGATCATCTAAGTCAGAACAGACCACTCCTCAACCAAAATGAGATTATCTTATTTATTTATTTAAAACACTGGTTTAAGTACAGATCACATCTTAAATGCAGCAATGCAATCTTCTCACACACGCAAGTGTCATATTTACGTATCCAAATCTGCTCCGCAAGCAAATGTATTAGTGAAGTAAGCACAATGTTTCTTTTTAAGAAGGCAAATAAATCATGCAAACATTTCCAAGGGGCTTTGGGAAAATTCTTCAGAGGGTTTGTATTTGAAGAACTCTCTCTGAAAATTAAATAAATAAATAAAAAATTGAGCTCTTATGTCAGGAAATTTGCATCGAATGCCTAGCATTTCCGTCAAGATGAGGTATATTGCCTCCTGGCAAGGATCCAGTATAAACAAATGACTGTGGCTTACCACACCGGAAATTCTCTCACATACACTAGGTTTCTTTAAAATATTCTAACTATAAATAATCCAACAGAAGTAGGCAGGCAATGCGAATTCCCTGCGGTATCTGAAATAGACCCTGATCACAAACAGATACTTATTTTCTTACGCTGCAGAGGCAGTGTTTGTTCACGGTGGCCCTAATTCATGTCTCCCATAACTTCAGTGCCTGCAGAGATACACATAGAGCGTGCATTGAATCTATCACATCGTTTTCCAGAGGGTAACAGGAATGTTACTGGACTTTTGCTCCTAAGGCGCTAGCTGCTTCGACATCCAGCTTCTTCTCCCTCCCCGCAACGGTGTTGTAAGCCAAGATATTAAAAAATGACTGGTCATCTGGATATTCAGTTTAGACACCTTAAAGGCTCCAGAATAGGCCCAAAAGTAAAAATCCCATCAACATTTTTGCAGAAAAATTTGGATAATGTTTATGGCCAAAAACAAGGACGAATATACACAGGAGTAGATAAGAGTAATCCATTAAGAACTACCTCGTATTGACAGACGCCACGATCGTAAATTGACAGAAGAACTGGTTAATATTGTATTTGATTCAGTTAAAAAGAAACCGTTCTGCCAGATACAGAAAATAATTCTGCAAGGTTTTGCAGAGGTCAGCCTAAAAGCGCAGCGCCCAATCCAAAGGAAAGTAAACTCCCTGCGGCCATGCCTTCTGTTGCAGTAAACCTGCCAAATCACTAATGTTAAGCAGGGATGTTGCAAGCCATGACTTGGATGGGACATCTCCAAATCTCCCCAAGGTGCAGCAGGAAGCGGTGGGGATGGATAAAACAATCCAGGCTTCCTTTGGAGTCACTGCTGAACTGCTGGCCCACAACGTGCTACGGGGACACTGCGCTACACAGGAGGTGTCATTCCTCAGGTGAAGTCCAGGCATCAAGCAGTCTATGGACATTAATAATCCTATAGCCCTGTCAACAGACTTAGAAGATTTAAAGCACAGTGTCTTAGCCAATTGCTAACTTGGCCGATTACATTCTGTCTACTGAAGTTTCCTCCTGTGGTTACAGCTGGACTGCCTTACTTTCTGTCTTAAAATGCTGTTTGAGATTCCCATTTCATGCCTGTGCTCACCATGAGAAATGGCTGCTGTTTAGAAATGCATGTGTGCTTATATGTATAGGGATTCCTACATACAATTTCTAGATGCCTTGGGTTTCTTTGGGACAAACAGACATCATGTAAATACCAGCCTGTATTTTTCCATAAAATGCCGCTTTAGCTTCAGACAAAAGCGGTCTGAGCAACACCAAGTGTCTAACAGAAAGGTGGGCGGGCATCAGACACGCCTTTCTTTTGAGAACACAGACAGTTAATTCAAAACCAAAGAGCACAACAGCCACAAGAAGAGGGAGAACTAAACACTGCAGTTCCCCTCACCAAAGATCACAACAGCCACAAGACAGAGAACTGAACGTTGCAGTTGCCTT